AGAGACTCTGGGTCATGGGGAGAGTGCAGTGCTTGGATTTTATACACAAGTTTTGAGGGGTATCCATTCTTCTTACGGGCTTCCCAGAGTCCTAATCAGGCTACCCTCCAAAATAACCTGAGTCAATGAGCCCACATCTGTCTATCCATATTGGAAAGTCCCTAGGACATTAATCACTCCCCTAAATCAGCCAGCTCCCCAAAACAATCAGCTCCCCTAAACAAGGCACCTGCAAGGTCCTGCACCTGTGAAGTTGTGATTAGCCCCATTCCCATAATAGCCCACATCAGCCTGACCCAAGCCCATGGTCCAAAACAGCCTACCGGCATCCACTGTCCACCCTGCTAGGGCCTAACTAACTGCCAACCCAACGAAACTCTGTCCCATTGCTAGGCACTAGGGTCTCAGGAAAGTTGTTTGCTCTCTTTGCAAAATGGGGACTGTGACAAAACTGTCTTCAGAGGTGTATTTGTTTGGTAGGGCCACCTGACAAAGAAAACGGACTGCGTGGCTTAAACAACAGAGACCACTTTCTCTCGGCTCTGGAGGCTGCAACTGTGAGATCGCAGTGTCAGCTGGCCTGGCCCTCCGGGGCTGAGACCCTGGGCTCGCAGATGTTCACTTCTCACGGCGTCAGTTTAAGCTATGTGCTCAGGCGCCCCTGCTGTCCCTTCGTCTGTCCCAATTTCTTTTTCTCACCAGGCAGTGGTTCTCAACCTTCCTGATGCTGCGACCCTTTAATACAGTTCATCGTGCAGTAGCAACAAAAATAATTTTATGGTTGGGGGTCACCACAACATGAGGAACTGAGGCAGGTTGAGAACCACTGTATATAAAGATACCGCTCGGTTGGATTAGGACCTCCCCTACCAGCCTCTTTTAACTGTCGGCATCCCCAAATACAGTCCCCTACTTAGGTACTGGGGGTTAGAGCTTCCACATTTCAGTTCTGGGGGACACAATTCAGCAGGTAACAAAAAGGTTTCTGTGAGAAGGTAACGCAGGAGTAGTAGTTCAACGTATGCAATCAAGAAACAGCTATTTTCATTACTCTTTTTGTGAGGACATACGTGTACATTTAAAAATTTAAATCAGCAACAGTTTGCCTTTTTACTTTTGTCTTAACTTATATTCCATACAGCCTGGAGAGTGCTCGCAGGAACTGTAAGACTTGGGCGTACCAAGGTGCAGAGTGGCAGCCTTGTTGGAACTGAAGAATTAGGGACAGAATGGAGGACCCCCATGAGACATTATCCTTATTATTTATATTTCAGCATAACTTCCATTACTTTTGCCAGAGTATTATGACACTCACTGTTCCAGTAATACTTAAAAAGATTTCTAAGCACACTTGTAGTTTTCAGCTTGAGTATAATGCAATTTTTTTTTTTTTTGCAGTTTTGTCTGGGGCTGGGTTCAAACCCACCACCCTCAGGGCTATAGGTCTGGCGCCCTACCCACTGAGCCATAGGCGCTGCCCCTTGAGTATAATGCAAAATTAAAGCAACAGACAGGCGTCCTTTGAAAGACTAAAGTAAGTTTAAACTCATTCTTGTGCTGTATTGCAAACAAATTCCACGAGATCTGTCTCCATTCTCAAGTTTACAAAATGGAGGAAAGTACTTCCGAATTTTTTGTATTCCTTACCACTAAGCAAATGTAGGAAAATGTTTCTTCCTACTCTGAGGACTGGGATGGTACAAAGCATGCCTGCCAACCTCTGATCTTGGGATCTTGGTGAAAATTCTCTCACCTTCTCTTTTTCTGTCTGCCTTGCAAAGATACAGAAGATTCATTTTCAGGGAGAATTCAAGATATGAAGGTTTTCAGCAGTGGACAATTACCCTTCTTTGTATCCCTGGGTATTGTGGCTGGTCCCACTTTTTTTTTTTTTTTTGGTCTTTGTAAAACTGAAATCTATACTTTCCATCTCTTCCTTTAAAGTTTCCTTTGCCTATAGAATTGGGCTCACGGGCTACAGCCTGGCTTCAACTGACCTCTCCAGATTTATCTTTGGGTATCATCCTGTGCTCTACTTCCAAAGACTTCTCTTTCAGCCAGCAGGTTAACACTTCACATTTGTGAGGCTTAATCCAGGCACCTCTAGCTTCATACTCCAGAGCCTCCCAAGCATCCTCCTAGGCACCCACATCCCGAATGCCCCCTCCTTTGTTCACTGAGCTCCTGGGGTGGCTCTCAGTATAGGGAGCAGACTGATTCAGAAGCAATATGAGATCAATTGGGTATAAATTATGAAGGCTGTAAAATCACTATTCAGCCCATTCCCTTTCTAAACAATTTACAAATTTACATAAACCACTAAGGCTGTCTCCACAAAAATAAATTTGGAAAGATTTCATACCTACTTATTTTCTACTTTCCTTGGCTTTAGAAAAAAGTAACTTTTTTATTTATTAGAAATATAAATGTAGGCTCGGTGCCCATAGCTCCGGCCACATGCACTGAGACTGGTGGGTTTGAACCTGGCCTGGGCCTGCTAAACAAAAAATGACAACTGCAACAAAAAAACAGCTGGGTGTTGTGGCAGGCACCTACTATCCCAGCTACTTGGGAGGCTGAGACAAGAGAATTGTTTAAGCCCAATAGTTTGAGGTTGCTGTGAGCTATGATGCCACAGCACTCTACCAAGGGTGACATAGACTCTGTCTAAAAATATATATATGTGTGTGTGTGTGTAAATAGGTTCTTTCTGGAAAGAACTGCCTCTTTAATGGAAATGTCAGGAAAGAATGAATCTAAGTTCATAAATGACATTAGCACGATGCGAAGATTTAACCATTTCTCAATCAAATTTGATGGATTTTCAAGAAAAACAGATAAAAACAAACAAAAAACTATGATTCAGAAAACTGGTAACTTCCTAAATTCAAGATAATTCCATAAAAGTCATTGGTATCTATTGTATTGTTTTTTCTTTAGAAAAGAGTTACTTAGTGTCACTTACTCTTAATTTAATAGTCATTAAGTTATAAAGAGTTTTATAATATTTTAAAATACTGTCAATTCAGCTTAGTGGCTTTTCTATATTTTTGACCACATGCATTTTCACTGTGCCTAGTACACATATAGACATGTACAAGTCCATTTAAAAATAAATGAGAGAAACAAAATTTTATGATGCTAACCCTTGTGTATGTAGAGCAAGTATTATAAAATACCATAGTGAGAGACTATGATATTTTCTCTTCCATTTTACATGCTGGTTGTGATCCATTTAATTGAATTCATGACCCCACAGAGGACGATAAGCTGCAGTGTGAAAACCTCCATGTAGATGAAACTGCTAACCAATGTAAGACTCCTGTTCACAGTCTACCTGATAGAAGATCAAACAATTCTGCGTGTACACAGTCTATGATGCTTCTGCGCTACCAGGAACTTCTGCTGTGGGAGAATTCTTGCTAGAAGTCAGAAACCACTTTCTTTTCATCTCCAAGGATTGGTACCAATGCATCCTCCCTCCCTCAGGCCTTCTGTATCTCAGGTGGGAGAGTCAATCTTTGGGGGGTTTCCCCCCTTAATCAAAGCAAGTATAACTAGAGTCACAGATTTTCACTAAAACTGTTTTTTTTTTTTTTTTTTTTGAGACAGAGCCTCAAGCTGTCCCCCTGGGTAGAGTGCCGTGGCATTACAGCTCACAGCAACCTCTAACTCCTGGGCTCAAGCGAGTCTCCTGCCTCCGCCTCCCAAGTAGCTGGGACCCCAGGCGCCCACCACAACGCCCGGCTATTTTTTGGTTGCAGCCGTCATTGTTGTTTGGCGGGTCCGGGCTGGGGATTCGAACCCGCCACCTTAGGTGTACGTGGCTGGCGCCTTAGCCGGTTGAGCTATAGGCACCGAGCCAACTGTTTTAATCAATTCTGTTTCATTAGTAAGATTTGCTGCTACAACATGAAGTGCTAAGAGTTTTAAAACAACTTCAAGCCACGCACGGTGGCTCATGCCTGTAATTCTAACACTCTGGGAGGCCTAGGTGGGTGGATTGCCCTGAGCTCATAGGCCCTGAGACCAGCCTTAGCAAGAGCGAGACCCTTCTCCTGTAATATTCTCTTCTCTCCTGTGCCCCTCTCTTGTCCCCACACTTACACAGCTCACTTCCTTACTTCTCCCAGTTCTCTGCCCAAGTGCTCAAATGTACTTCCTCAGAGACATCTGTCATGGCCAGAACCACCCCTATCCTCCTCAAGCTGCTTAATCTTGTTCATGGCAGTATCACCTCCACACACGTTATATATTTATTTTTTATTCATTCCCCTCTTCTGGAATTTGAGTTCTACTTGTTAGAGTATTTGTTTTCAACTCTTGCATTCCCAGTGGATAAAATGATGCCTGAAACAAAGTAGGAACTTAACAAATATTTGTCCAATGAATTAATTGAATATGAATCAGTGAATGCCACACACAATCAAATCTTAGGTGAGAAAAAAACTTATATGCAATATATGTTTAAAAAAAAGCATGCTAAAATCAAGAATATTCAAAAAATTAAAATTTCTTTGTTATGCATTTTTTCTCCTAAAAATGGAAGCCTCGGAGTTTAAATTTGGCCATCTTAAAAGTCTAAATCCAATGCATCTGTAGTAGGAGAGATGATGAGGCATGATTCTCTGATTGTCAGGCCAATCCAGAGCTAATTTTGGGCCTGATTTGTCGTGCACTGCCAAAGCACGTTCATGAATGGGAGGTGCCTCACATACAAGCAAAGGCATAGAGCTATAGAGTTTAATTATATTTAAATTAATGCAATAAGACTCAGAAGAACTCTTCTTCCTTGGCATCAGTTAGAAAAGAGAAGCTTCTAAAGAATAAGTCATCTATGAAGAGAGACCTGTGACTTATTTGACTCTTTAATTCCACATAAATTCTGCAGGTTATTTTTACTTTGTTAAAACATAAGGCAAAAAAAAAAAAAATCAAAGAGCTTAGAGATCTCAGAAAAATTGATATAGTGTTTTTCTATGAATGGTAAAAGCACTTGCCTTGAATAAGTCCACCTTGCTGATGATGCTGAAGTTCATATCAATGGCAAGGGCTAACTGCACTGTAGTTGGCAGGTTCTTGAGCAAATCAGACTCATCTTTGAAAAGATAAAACACATCCACCCCCAGAGAAGAATAATTAATAAAATAGGTCACCAAACTATGAGTAGGAAAATTGAAAAAAAAATAAAGGAAACAAGATGCAAACACTTTTTACCCACAAACAGACACATCCAATTCTGTCTTCATTATTCAGTAGGCTATACCTACCTATTATAATAACTCTATTATGCTCAAAACAGAAAACAAGTATTTTAACTCTGGATGACATATTGAATAAGTCCAGGACATTATGTGTGCTGAAACTTTAAGATAGGAAACTTAATGACTATAGCACAAAGGCTACTGAGAAGCTGGGATGGGAGAAGAATCCAGTTCCCTGATTCTCTTGATTCCATCCCAAACATCCTGAGGATGGCAAATAGTAATGCCCATTGCATGGCATCTGAAAGCTTACAGAGGTCTGTCACACCCATTATCTTATTTGACTTTCATGACAACCCTAAAGGTCAGTGTTCTTTATTTTTTTTTTTGCACTTTTTTTGGCCAGGGCTGGGTTTGAACCTGCCACTTCCGTATATGGGGCTGGCGCTCTAGTCCTTTGAGCCACAGGTGCTGCCAAAGGTCAGTATTCTTATTCCTACTTTTCAGAAAGAAGAAAAATGAAAAGAATTAAAGCCCACTGGTTGATTGTGCGTGATTAGTAGGCAGCTCAGCTGGGATGGAATCTGAAGAAGAAATGTGCTAAGTGAGTAAATACAAATTATTGTTGTTTACTTGCTTAATAACTTGATGAAGAATATGAATACATTACAGAGTTTGCTAAATGTGAATTAAATGACGGCCCTTTGGGCTGATACAATGTTCCACGAGCAGCACTGCCTGTTTTTTTTTTTGAGATCGAGTCTCATTACATGGCACTAGGTAGAATGCCCCTATTGTCATAGCTCATCACAACCTCCAACTCTTGGGCTTAAGAGATTCTCTTGCCTCAGCCTCCCAAGTAGCTGGGACTACAGGCACCACAATGCCTGGCTATTTTTTTTTTTTTTTTTTGGTGTAGTTGTCATTGTTGTTTAGCTGGCCCAGGTCAGGATCGAACCCGCCACCCTTGGTGTATGTGGCCCGTGCCATAGCCACTGTGCTAGGGGCACCGAGCCATCCCTGGCCTATTTTTAATGTCTAGTATTTCAAGGGTTTCTGAAAGTAGATTATTTTTGATGTTCTGTTATTCAAAAAAGAGACAAATTACTGTATTATATCCCTATTTTTGTTCCAATATATATTATAAGTATAAAAATCCTGCATATAAAAAGACAGTTCCTTGTTTTTAAGGATTGTTTGTCTCAGTTACCTCCGAAGGTGGGAAGGTATCTACAGCTGAGTCAGGTCAGTATCTACAGCTGCCAAGGGGAGGGAGGGAGGAAGCCTGACATCATTTCTGTCGCTGCTCTTCCTGCCCACTTAGAATGCCCTCAAGTAGCTGTGGGTGCTTGAGAGAGAGAGAGGCGTGTTGTTCTGGCCATTCAGGAAGAGGTTCTAAACATGAGCTGGGGTCTCTTAAACTCGGCAGAAAGGTGGAGAAAAGGTCCTGCTATCAACAATCGAGTGGTTCCCATGTGCTGTTAGGAGCCTTTGCCACTGGAGATGTGCGCTGTAATTTGCATTCTGGTGGCAGTAGCATTTTTGGCTTCTTATGGGCACTAATTTCTATTTTTATAGGGTAGGAAACAAGCCAAAAGTTGAATTTGATTATCATCAGTTAGCACATTGTCTTGAACTTATTTTATATCCTTTAATAAAAATTATTTTAAATTCCAGTTGCATGGTACCATTAATTGTTTAGGGGCCTGTGTTGCAGAAGCAATTGTGTGCCAGAAGAAAGATGGGAGTGGCCTGAAGAGCTGCTACTCTTTCAGCCCAGTTGACCCTTACAACATGGGTTTGCATGACATGGGTCCACTCAGACCAGGATTTTCTTCTTCTGCTACCCCTGAGAGAGGGAAACCCACCTCTCTTCTTCCTCCCTGACTATTCAGCATGAAGAGTACACGGATGAAAACGATCCACTTCCACTTAATGAACAGCAAATATATTTTCTCATCCTCATGATTTTCTTAATAGCATTTTTTTTTCTCTAGCTTACTTTGTTATAAGGATAGTACATGTAACATACGACATTTGTGTTAATTGGCTGTTTATGTTATTGGTAAAGATTCCAATCAACAGTAAGCTATTTGTGGTCAAGTTTTAGGGGAGCCAAAGATTATGTGTGGATTTTTGTTGTGTGGGTGTTGGTGCCCCTAATCCCCGTATCGTTGAAGAGTTAAGAGTACTGTGCTCTGGGTAAGAGATTGATGTTGCAGAAAGAGCAAGGGTTTGGAAGGAAACAGATGCAGGTCTTAGTTCCATCTAGACAATTTTCTGGCCCTGTGTCCTTGGCCAAATTTCTCAGGAGCCTCTGTTTTCTTGTCTCATAAAGAGAGATGATGCCCAATTTTCCTGATTTCTCTCCTTTTTTGGTGACAACGGTATGAGACAACACTTGTAATCTCTAGCATCTAGTAGGCACTGAATAAAATGTAGCCTTTTTTCTTCTAAGGTTTGCATAACCGATTAAAAACTATGGCTCCATATTTAAGAAAAAAGAAACCCATGATAGTAAATTAATGCTTTAAAGATCATTGAATTATTTTTCAATCTTTTGAAATCTTTTCAATCTTAGAGAATTGTTATTGTATGACTAGGTTTACAGGAATTTAATCAGTATTCTTCCATGCTTACCTAGCATTCTTTGAGAGGCCCATGTATATTCATACCAAGTCCGAACTCTCTTTTGCACACTTCTAGGAATGGAGTACTTGTTCATGTAGGCAGTAGTATGATCCATGTAGACGCGGAAGTTACTCTGGTTGGCTGTGGCTGCCCCAATTATATCTCGCATCTAAAATGACAAATAAGGTCACTCCATATCCAGTAAAGAAGCTGGGAGAGCTACTAACAGTTGAGTTACACATTGTCACATGATGCACTCCCTTATAATACCTTGATTATTTGTTTTTAAACACATTGATATTGAGTCCTAATTTTACCCATTTCCATAAAATATTGGGTGTTATCTCTCTGACCCAAGAAGGACAATAGCAAGACCTGTTGGATCAACCATGTGAGATTTTTGTGAGTATTCGATTACAAAATGCATGACTGCATGTAGTTTTCTTTGCAAACTTGTGTATTACTGCAGAAATGTTAGTAGATATTTTAGAAATTATACAGCTGTGCTTATTCAAGGAATGTGCAGTAAAAATTGAGCAATTATCTGGCAGAATGGCTGGTCCATTCTGGTAAGTTTCACTTTGAAAGCATCCTTCATAGATTATCCAGAGTGGCTGGCTATATAGACTCAATTCATCATGAAATTGCAACCTCTGTACTTCCCTTTGTGTTGTTTAGACAGATAAAATCAAATTTCATCATGCTTAAGGCACAGTATTCAGCAGAAGTTGAAATGTGCTGAAATTACTGAAGCATCATCTACTGCTGTGACAATTCTTAAGAAACTGTCAGGTTTTAGTTCTTGGATGTTTATAACTCAGCCATAAAAACCCACTCTAGGTTAAAAGCTGATCTTTAAGGTCTCAGCACAAAAAAGATATATAGCTCGATGCTTCCTCTCACATAGAGGGAAGCAAGTGGCTGTAAATTTGCTTTGACTGTGGGTTTATAATAGGGAGGAAAACCAGGGCCTCACTTTCACACTCATAAGACTTCATTCATTCATTCTAGTAGCTGCTGGAGCTTTTCTGCTTATGGAAAAACTACTCATTTTTGAGGTCTAGTTCAAATTGCTTTTCTTTTAAATTTAATTCTTTTTTAAATTAAATCATAAAGAGGCAGATCATGTATACATTAATGGGGTACAATGAACATTTTAATCTATATTTATGAGGTACAATGTGCTGATTTCATATACAATTTGGAATGCTTACATCATACTGGTTAATATACGCCCACCTCATTTACTTAGTTATTTAAATGGAGCTTTTATTCTGAGCCTTCTTTAGTTTCCATTTTTAGAGGCAATATAGGGTGTCCCCAAAGCTGTCTGTATACTTGCCATATGTACATAGGGAAAATGGGAAATTGTAGCTAAATGTATCTTTATTTACAAAATATTCATTGCAAAATTTTACAAAGAGGTGGCCAAAACATAGAGAACATTTTACAAATATTTTGTAAAATTTTGAAATGATAAAAGTACCTTTAACTATAAATAAAAGTACCTTTAACTATGATTCCCATTTTCTTTCTGTGTGATGTCTTTGTGGGAGACTTTGGGACACTCTGCAGGTTCTTCTACTTATAGAAAGTGTCTTTTGAGGAGCTCTGCCGATAGTCCAACTGTATACATCTTTTTGAGTCTCTAACTTTTGCTTCTCAGTGGCTCTTCCAAATATTTTTTAACAATCTCAATTCCCACTGCCAGCTCCAGACAATTAGTGACAGCCCCTATGTTCCAGAGCCTGCTGAAATTATTCAAACCAGACAACCCTGAACCTGGATACCCTGCCTGGTATGTTCCTCCCCTAGAGTTTCCTGTGTAACTCTCCCCCCAACTCCATCCCCAGCGGTATGTACGGCCTCTTCTTGGGAATCTGTGAGTATAAGAAACTACCTTTGCATTGGTAATTGTCTCTTGATCTATTGGCTTTACCATACCTAAGTAATAGTAAAGGCTATATTTTAAAATAGTATCATTCCTTCTAATTCATTATATTTTGCTTAATCTTCCTTGAATCTCTTTGTTCAAAATCCTTCTCTGGCTGACTTTCTGTTGCCTTCATGATAAAGTTCAATATCTTTAATTTAACATTCCGAGTCCTTACAATATCTTCTCCTCACATACATCTCTTATTGACACATGTCCTTCGCTCTGGTCATTCTGGAACTCTTTTCATTTTCTCAGACACGTCTTATGTTTTGTCATTACCATCTTTTCACATAGTTTTGAATTAATTGAGCTACTGAATCCTCCCTGGTTTTTAAAGATGTTTCAAATACACCCTCCTCCATGGAACTTCCTAGAAGGTTTTTTCTAAACTAATAGAGAGCTTTCAAACTACTCTGGTGCTTGCTATGTATAGCAGACGATATTCATGAATGTAGTGTTTGGATTTTGATGATGTGGGAATAGCTTCAAGTATCATAAACAATAGTTTTTATTGTTACGTTTTGTTGAAGAATGAGTTTTATTCATACTTTATATAAAAAAAGTCAGTGAGTGGGAACCCATAATTTTTCTAGTGGTAATAACCATTTCATGGTTTAACCTAACCCTTCACCTGGGACAAATGTGTCAACATTGTTAGGTCTGGTGGAGGGTAAACAGGTGGCAAGAAATGGCTAAGGGCAGAGTGTGGGAAATGAACTGTAGCTAGGAACTGTTCCCTGGTGGGAACACACACAGTAAAAAATTCCTAGTGACCTGTGATTGGCTGAGAGCTCATTACCCTATAGTTAAACCTGTGATGTGACCTGTTATATAACCCCAACCTGTCATTCACCCCAAAGGCAGGAAACAACACCCAATCCCGCCAGAAATGTGAGACAAACTAGTGAGCTATAAAAGGCACCCTGTGTGAGATTCCAGATTTTTCCCCACTCCCGGAGACTGAATCCTTCCTTCCTCCCTGGAACATATTTTCACTTTGTGTAACTTCCTTCTTTACTTTCATTCCTTCTTTTATGGGATAAACTACTGGTACCAAATTGCTTATTTATTGATTTTTTGCAGGTTTTTTTTGGCTGGGGCTGGGTTTGAACCCACCACCTCCGGCATATGGGGTTGGTGCCCTACTCCTTTGAACCACAGGTGCCGCCCTTACAAAATTGTTTCACAGATCACTTAGTCATCAGCTTGACTCAGCACCAGGACTCATTGTTGATACTGGGGGCCAAGGGACCAGGGAGCATCCACTTCCAGATGGACCTAACAGCACGGCTTAATTTATTTACTTTTTGTTCTCTAGCATGTAGTATGTAAAGTTCCTTCCAAGGAAGCATAACTTCTAAAGTTGCTATGCTGTCAAATGTTTTATTTCTTGTCAATCTGGGAATTCACAAAGAATTTGGGCTTTCTCCCTTGTAGAAAGTTCTCCCATGGCAACTACCTTTAATATAATTATGTATGTTTTGGCTTTATTTTCTCACTGCATTGATTTTCTGAAGAACAAGTACAGGGAGATGCTATACGAAGCCTCTGTGAAACAATGATTTGTTAATTACTTTAGATGGCATTTCATAGTCTCTGATTAAATGACCTCTAAGGTTGATTTTTTACCCAGTGATTTTATGACAATGTTTGAAGTTTAAGAAAATGAGAGCTTTTAATGGTTTTCAGGAACCTCTAAGTAAGAAGTTAACTTAGAAACAACTTTCTCTGAGAGTTCAAACTAATGCTCTTTGCTGACAAGTCTTTTGATAGATTTAATGGTTTAAAAATGGAAAAGCACTATTGTCCCAATAACACCCTCCTTCGACTCATTAAAATAGATGAAAGTTAAAAAAAAAAAAGAACAAGACAGATTAAAATTTTTTTTCCCATAAAGTTTATAAAGACTTGTTAGCCTTTCAAAAATGACAGCACTATGTATTTAAGAAGTCACACTCAACTTACCTGACCAATTAAGCTGGAGAACACAAAAACTCCAGAAAAAAAATTTATGAGTTGAAAAACAATTTCGAATAAAGTTTGAGGTTCTGGAAGCCCCCCAATGGTAATTAAACTTCGAACTGCCCAATAATAACATCTCAGATACCTGTGAAAAAAGCAGATACACATTTTGCTTTTTTCTGTATCACTAAAATGCCACTATGGTTGGGAGCATAGGGTACTACAAAACTATAATGCATTTCCTCCTAATCCAGATCTCCTTTCTGTAGACATCACTGGCAGATACCACATGTACTAATGCAAACTTCTTACTAAGCATTGTGAAACAACGAGTCAATTAAACCTAAGGAGGGTGTTTAGTAGCTTATCCCAAAATTTACTGGTATAAAACAATCACCATTTTCCCTAGGTTGATAGTTTCATGGGTAGAATTTTGCACAAGGCCTAGCAGAGATGACTCATTTGTATTCCACGATGACTGGACCCCCAACTAGAGTGACTTGAACGGCTTTCAATCTGAGAAGACTTGATTGAGGCCAAAAGGCTGGGACCTTGATCCTGAATGTTGGCCAGGTTCCTCTGTTCTTCTTTGCATTATGTCTTTTTGGAATGTCCAAGGTTGCTTCTTACCTCACATACGTGAGTCTCGGCTAGGCTGGAGCTAGCTGGGTATTTCTCTCTTTTCATTCAACCTCTTGGTTTTACTAGCTTGGGCTTCCTCACAGAATGGCAGTTTCAAGGCACAGTAGACAAATTTCTTACATGGGACCAGTTTTCCCAGAGCAGTAGTAGCCGAGGCAATAGCTGCAAGATTTCCCATAAATCAGAAGTCCTATAGTATCTTAGAGTTCTATTTGACACATTAATTTGTCAAGTGAGTCACTAAGGCTAGCCCACATTCAAGGGAACAGAAATTTGAATTTACTTCTCAATTTGAGGAACAGCTAGACAGTTTAAGGCCATCTTTAAACCTCACTAGTGAGTTGTGGGATTATTATAGAGATTAAGTATATTTATGCAGATAGGAGAGGCTTTTATAGTTTAGATTCTATTGTTTTTAATAATAGAAAACAAAACAGATAAATATCTCCTCCATTTTTTTTCACCCACACTTTATTATTAGATATATAAACCATAGAAGAGACAGAAAACTGAGCTCCATCTTAATAGGAAAATTACTGCTGAGTACAATGAATAACTTTTCTAGAAATTTAGTATTAAAGAAAACCACAGCTGGAAGTGGTGGCTCATTCTTGTAATCCTAGCACTCTGGGAGACTGAGGTGGGTTGATTGCCTGAGCTCAGGAGTTTGAGACCAGCCTGAGCAAGAGTGAGTCTCCATCTCTGAAAATAGCACCTGTAGTCCCAGCTACTTGGGAGGCTGAGGCAAGAGGATTGCTTGAACCCATGAGTTTAAGGTTGCTGTGAACTATGGTCCCATGACACTCTACTAAGGGTGGCAAATTGGGACTCTGTCTCAAAAAAAGAGACAAAAAAAAAAAAAAACCCAAACCAAACCCAAAACCAAAAAAGAAAACCACATATGCTCAGAAATATAAAGATTCTGCACTTAAATTGAGTAATTGCAAATGAAGAGGCAGAGGTCATTATAGTGCAGATAGGAAGAGGAAGAGAAAAGAATATGATAAAGATTAGGACAGAATATGTAATATTCTCTTAGCTGCATTTGGCTAAGGGTTTGAAAATAAGGTGGGAATGGAAGTTAGTATTATAACCCCATTGCATATATACAGATAGTCCCTGACTTATTATGGTTTGATTTTATAATGGTGCAAAATCAATGTGTAGTCAATAGAAAGCATACTTAGGATACCTACACAGTCATTCTTTAGTTTCAGTGTAGTATCTAGTAAATTGCATGAGCCATTCAACACTTTGTGTATTATAAAATAGGCCCTGTGTTAGACAATTTACCCAACTGTAGGCTAATGTAAGTGTACCGAATATGTTGAAGGCAAGGCTACACTAAGCTATTCAGTGGGGTAGGTGTAGTAAATGAGTGAGTCCTAACCTATTTGGTACAGGGATTGGTTTCATAGAACACAACTTTTTCCACAGACCGGGGGTGGGGATGGGGATGGTTTCAGGATGGTTCAAGTGTTTTATATTTACTGTGCATTTTATTTCTATTATTATTACATTGCAATATATAATAAAATAATTATACAGCTCACCAGCATGCAGTATCAGTCAGAGCCCTGAGCTTATTTTCCTGCAACTTGACAGTCCCATCGGGGGGTAATGTGAGACAGTCACACCCAAAGTGTGTTGCTTATGTCCTCAGCTCCACCTCTGATCATCAGGCATTAGATTCTCATAAGGAGTGCACAACCTAGATTCCTCAATGTACAATCTACAGTAGGGTTCATGCTCTTATGAGAGTCAAATGCCTCTGCTGATCTGACAAGAGCGAGAGCTCAGGCAGAGATGCGAGGGATGGGAAGTGCCCGTAAATACAGGTGAAGCTTCACTGGCTTGCCTGTCATTCACCTTTTGCTCTCTGGTCTGATTCCCAACAGGCCCTGAACCAGTACTGGGGGTTGGGAGCTGGGGACCCCAGTATTAAATGCAGTTTTGACTTAAGGTAGTTTCAACTTATGATGGGTTTATCAGGAAGTAACCCCATTGAAAGATGAGGAGAAATGGTGTTTATATATATTGTAATTTTTGTGCATAGACATACTATTTGGTATACTCCATGTAGCTCTGATAGCATGATTTAGATTAGGCATTTCCACTGAATCCTTAAACAGAAGTCCTGTACATAAGAACACACTAGATATTGTTACAGAAAGGCTTTATGTTTAGTAGGTCCTGACTAGCTGTTTCAGGATGTGGAGTAGACACAGAAAAGCAGCATTTCTTTACAGAATTCTGTCCTAGTTGGGTCTTTATTTCTTCTCTGGGTGTGCCATGTATAAAATTAGCACTCTGGGTAACTGTGCATTAGTTTTTAAAGAAGTGTGGCTTTTTTCTTATAAAAATAGTGATTTTCAGACATTCAAATAGAAGTTGAGGTTTGCAAAGAAAGAAAGAAACTGTATTAGAAGTCAATATTCAAATTAAAACAGATCTGGAAAGAAATTACCTATTTTGAAGTTCAATACCTTTTGAAGGACGTGGTACTTTCTTTTTTTTTTTTTTTTAACCTGGTGGTTACAGGAACAGAAAAAATAATTAACTCTTTGGTAGGGTTTGAAACCAGTGTGCCAAGAGAATAAAAATATTACCACTGTGTAATTTTTTTCTATCAGGCTTCCTTGGACTTACTAATATTATACCGAACTTGATGTCACAGAGAACCACCTTGAGGAAGTATAGAATTAATTTTATGGATTGCATTTTGACTTTTCAAAGTCCAATTTATAATTTTCCGTTACCTGATTTATTTTGGTCACAGATCCTGGACCTGTGGGTCTCTTTAAATTAAGGGCATTTATTAAACCTGACACTACCCAAGAGTGGAGAGGGACTTGGTCGACTCCATTAAAAGTGTAGGAATATTGTCCCCTCCAAAGTCACTCCAAAGTTTCTTGCAGTGTTAACATGAACAGACATATGAATTACTTTCTCTCATTTCCTTACTTATAATGTTTAAAAAATAACAATCAAATGTAAAACCTTGGCATTGATTTTCCAACTCTCACGGGTTAGCCTTGCATAATTTTTTTTCTATATTAAATAGCCTACAATGTTAATTGAAAGTTTTCTGCTCTGATGCTTTGAGATTTATTTTAGGATTCTTTTCTCAGTCACGTCTTACACCTAGACACGCACAACCAAAGGTAAGATTTGTAATTTAATTAGATGGCATCTTATTGATTTTCTAGGATTAGCTTAATTAGTCAAGTGTGTCCATCTCTAATATCTACATCCCATGATAGATCCTTCCACAGAGATTCTATCTGGCTGATTTAATTCATGAATCATCTAACTATGAACTATCTAATATATAAACTATGTGATACATAAACTATATAATACATGATGTATGTTCATACAAACTTAAATATACGTTACCATACTACAAGTTAAAGTGATAGGCAGAATTTGCCATAACCATAAAAACATACATTTAATGTGAAAATAGAAAGTCTTCCATGAGATAAACGTGACATGTAATTTTCTCCAGTATTTTATTATGAAACACTTCAAACAAACAGAACAATTAAAAGAATTTTAGGCCGGGTACAGTGGCACATGCCTGTAATTTGAGACCAGCCTGAACAAGAGCAAGAACCTGTCTCTACTAAAAATTGAAAGATTAGCCAGGTGTTGTGGTTGGTACCTATAGTCCCTGTTACTCAGGAGGCTGAGGTAAGGGGATTGCTTGAACCCAGGAGTTTGAGGTTGCTGTAAGCTAGGCTAAGGGCATGGTACTCTAGCCTGGGCAACAGTAAAAAAAAAAAAAAAAAAATTTATACTAATCATCCAAATGCCACCACTTAGATTCTACCAGTAACATTTACTCTTCCTGCTTTGTCTCATATTCCTCTATTTTCATAAATCCATTTTACTTTTTGTATCCATTTCAAAGTAAATTTTTTTTTTTGAGACAGTCTCACTTTTTCGCCTTCTGTAAAGTGCTGTGAAGTCACAGCAATCTTCAGCTCTTGGGCTTAGGCGATTCTCTTGCCTCAGCCTCCCAAGTAGCTGGGACTACAGGCGCTCACCACAAGGTCTGGCTATTTTTTTCATTACAGTTTGGCCAGGGTCAGAACTGAACCTGCCACCCTCAGTATATGGGGCCAGTGCCCTACCTGCTGAGCAACACGAGCTGACCTCAAAGTAATTTTTATAGACAGACACTCTCCTAAAAGCAATACTTGAGAATATATATGTTAACTAGAGTTCAATATTTGTTTAGAGTTATTTTTTGTTTTGTTTTGAACACACAATAAAAGCACTAATCTTAAGTAGTACCATTTGATGAATTTTAAAAAGTACAATATTGCTAACTATAGGCATTACACTATACAGTGGGTTTTTAGGACTTAATTCATTTTGCACAGTGGAAGCTTTGTACTCAACTAATACCTCCTTATTTTCCCTTTCTCTAGCCTGGCATAACCACAATCCTACTCTCTCCTTGTATAAATTTGATGAGATTCCACGTATGAGTGA